CCTAAACTTTTCTGGCATCCAGTGGGGCATCATCCCGGCTACTGGCTTTTTTTATTTACCCCATCCCATCTTGCCCCAAGCACTACTTTCCATCTGTGGGGTCCTTAGATCTACCAGCACAACCTGCTTCAGGACTGGAAATAATCAAATTGAAGGCTGAAATCAACAAAATAGAAACACAGAAAACAATCCAAAGAATCAATGAAACAAAGAGCTGGTTCTTTGAGAAAATCAACAGTATTGATAAACCCCAATACAAACTAATCAAAAGGTGGAGAGAGAACATTCAAATTAACAAGGTCAGAAATGAAAAGGGGCACATAACAACAGACATTGAGGAAATTCAGAGAATCATTAGGTCTTACTACAAAAACCTGAATGCCACAAAATTGGAAAATGTAAAAGAAATGGACATTTTTTAGATAAGTACCATATACCAAAATTAAATCAAGAGCAGGTGAATTATTTAATTAGACCTATAAACCACAAGGAATTAGAAGCTGTCATCAAAAACCTCCCAACCAAAAAAAGCCCAGGACCGAATGGTTTTAGTGCAGAATTCTATCAACCTTAGAAGAGCTAATACCTATATCCCTTAATGTGTTTTACATAATAGAAACAGAAGAGTCATTACCAAACTCTTTTTATGAATCTACAGTCACCCTGACTCCAAAACCACACAATGACCCAAACAAGAAAGAGATATGTATCTATTTTCATTCTTCTACAGGTTGACATCCAGTCATGCCAGCACCATTTGTTAAAGATGCTTTCTTTCTTCCATTGTGTACCTTTAGCTCCTTTGTCAAAAATCAATTGTTAGTAGGTTTGTGAATTAATAACCAGGTCTTCAGTTTGATTCCATTGGTCAACATCTCTGTTTTTATGCCAATACCAAGCTGTTTTCATTACTGTAGCTCTGTAATAGAGTTTAAAGTCAGGGATGGTAATGCCTCAGAAAGTTCCTCTATTGTATAGGATTTTTTGGCTCTCCTGTTTTTTTTTTTTTTTTTTGGTTTTCCTTATAAAGTTGATTATTGTTCTCTCAAGGTCTGTAAAGAATTTTGTTGGGATTTTGATGGGGATTGCATTGAATCTATAGATTGCCTTTCATAGAATTGCCATTTTTACTATGTTGATCCTACAAATTCAAGAGCATGGGAAATCTTTCCATTTTCTGGTATCCTCTTCAATTTATTTCTTCAAAGCCTTAAAGTTCTTGTCAAATTGGTATTTTGCTTTCTTGGTTAGAGTTACCTCAAGATACTTTATGCTATTTGTGGCTATTGTGAAAGATGTTTCTCTGATTTCCCTTTCTGCTTCTTTATCCTTTGTGTATAGGAGGGCTACTGATTTTTTGAGTTGATCTTGTATTCTGCCACATCAATGAAGGTATTTATCAACTGTAGGAGTTTTTGGTAGAGTTTTTGGGGTCACTTATGTACACTATCATATCATCTGCAAATAACAAAAGTTTGACTACTTCGTTTTCAATTTGAATCACTTTTATTTCCTTATGTTGTGTTATTGCTATTTCTAGAACGTCAAGCACTATGTTGAAGAGATAGAGTGGACAACCTTGACTTGTTCCTGATTTTAGTGGAATCGCTTTGAGTTTCTCTCCATTTAATTTGATGTTACCTGTCTGCTTGCTCTATATTGATTTTATTATGTTTAGATATGAACCTTGTATCCCTCTCTCTCCAAGGCCTTTACCATAAAGGGGTGTTGAATTTTGTCAAATGCCTTTTCAGCATCTAGTGAAATGATCATATGGTTTTTTTCTTTCAGTTTATTTATATGATGGATTACATTGATAGGTTTTTGCATGTTGAACCAGTCCTGCTTCTCTGGGATGAAGCCTACCTGATCATAATGGATTATATTTTTGATGTGTTCTTGGATTTGGTTTGCCAGTATTTTATTGAGAATTTTTGCATCGATATTCATGAGTAAAATTGGCCTGTAATTCTCTTTCTTCGTTGAGTCTTTGTGTGGTTTTTGTATCAGGGTAACTGTAACTTCATAAAAATAGTCATACTGGGAAGATAATGATAATGGCACTGGGACTTGTCTCTACTGTGTGTACTGGCTTTTTGAGATCCTAGTCTATTTGGATACACACCTTACTAAGCCTGTATGGAGCTGGGAGGGCCTTGGACTTCTCACAGGACAGGGTACCCTGCCCTCCCTTAGCACTGGAAGGAAAAAAGGGAGGGTGTGGAGGGGAGCAGGAGAGAAATGGGAGGAGGGGAGGAAGTGGGAAAGTTTTGAATGGTATTATTTATAAAGCAATAAAAATTTTAAATAGGCGGGGGCAAGGTTGAATGAGCTCTGACTCAAGAGCAGATATGCCCTTCCTTGGGTCATTTTGAAAAATTGGAGGGTGGAGGTTCCCAGTCGCTGGACAGGCTATTTATCCTGGATAGGTGCCTTTTAGAGCCTGGAGAGGTGGTACCAGCACTGATGTGGTACCACCTGGAGCTTGGGGAGGTGGCTTTGCCAAATTGAGGGATGATGTGTTCCAGAAGTACTTGAGCCATCACATTTGCTGTTTTCTGGAGGTCGGGAGTATCCGTCCATCTATCCTGAAAAGGTGTCAACAGGAATTAGGAGACAACTGAGCACTTTATGAGTGAGCATGTGGATGAAGCACACCTGCCAGTCCTTGCTTCGTTGGTGTCCTCGAAGCTGAGGCAGAGGGGCTGCTGTGGGTTGGCCTTGGCACACATCTGGCAGGAAGAGTGAACCTGTAAAATATGGGCTTGAAGATGGGGAAGTCGAGGAAGGCTCTAGAGACTGATTCTAGTTTCCAACAGGCCAGATTTCTTTCTTTTAAAGTCTCATCAATGAGTTTATTTCCTCTATAGTATCTTCAGTGACTGAGATTCTTTCTTCTATCTCTTGTATTCTGTTGGCTATACTTATCTCTGTAGTTCCTGTTTGTTTACCAAGATGTTCCATATCAAGCTATCCCTCAGTTTGTGTTCGCTTTATTGTCTCCATTTCAGTCTTCAAGTCTTGAACTGTTTCCTTTACCTGTTTGATTGCTTTCTTGGTTTTTTTGGGGGGGGGGGAGTATCTTTGAGGGATTTATTAATTTCTTCTAACTTTTTGTTTGTATTCTCTTCCATTTCTTTAAAGGAGTTTTTCACACTCTGTTTAATTTTCATAATGTTACATTTAAAGTCAATTTCTTCTACTTCCGTGTTAGGGTGTTCAAGTCTTCATGTTGCGTATTCACTGGATTCTGGTGTTATCACATTGCTTTTCAGGTTGTTGGAGGAATTCTTGCAATGGCTCCTACTCATCTCTTTCTTCAAATGAGGCCAGAAGAGTCTTGGTGTCTTGGACCAATCTTTGCTGTGGCTGACTGAGTACTTGGGAGTTTTTCTTGGTCTGCCCTCTCTTAGGTCCCCTCAGCATTGGAGCAGGCTGTGTTCGAGGATTCCAAGGACCTCACAGGTATAAGGAGGGCAAGGGGGTAGGGTGGGTTAGGGCCAAGCCCAGCAGCAGTGGCACTCCCAGCTGGATGACCAGAACAGCTAGGGAGTTATGGAGGGGCCTCTATGTTCTTGCCCACTGAATGAGCATGTGATCAAACTGGACTCTCTGAATGTGGCTGTCAATGGGGGCTGACTGAGAAGTCAATGATAATGGCACTGGGTTTGATTCTACTGCATGTACTGGCTTTTTGGGAACCTAGTCTGTTTGGATGCACACCTTACTAGGCCTGAATGGAGCTGGGAGGGCCTCGGACTTCCCACAGGGCAGGGTACCCTGCCCTCTCTGAGTACTAGAAGGGGGCAGGGAAGGGTGAGTGGGGGAGCAGGAGGGAACTGGGAAGAGGGGAGGAGGTGGAAAATTTGAATGGTATTATTTATAAAGCAATAAAAATAAATAAATAAAATGGAATCTAGGCCACCCTGTAGTATAAAAAGGCCTCATCAACATGACTTTTATGTTGATTGTAGAACAATGCTTTCTATTTGCATCTTCATTTCCATTTCATGTTACCTAGTTTTCTCTCTTTTTTAATTTTTGTATTTATTTTACATACTGGCCAGTTTCCACTCCCACTTCCTCCCTTCCACAGTCCCCCATCCACTCCTCAGAAAGCTCAGGCATCCTATGGGAGTCAACAAAGCCTGGCATATGAAATTGAAAGTCTCTCACCTTAGAGAATGGGTTCCAAAGAGCCAGCTCATGTGCCAGGGACATATCCTGGTCCCATTGCCAGGGGCCCCACAAACAGAACAAGGTACACAACTGTCACCCACTTGCAGAAGACCTAGTTCAGTCCCATGCAGGCTCCCTAGCTATCAGTCTAGAGTCTGTGAGCTCCCATGAGCTCAGGTCAGCTCTCTCTGTGGGCTTCGCCATTATGATCTTGACTGTACCCCCTTGCTCATATAATCCCTTCGCCTTCTCTTCAACTGGACTCCCAGAGCTCAGCCCAGTGCTTTGCTGTGGATCTCTGCATCTGCTTCCATCAGTTGCTGGATAAAGGCTCTATGATAATAGTTAGGGTAGTCACCAATCTGATTACAGGAGAAGCCCAGTTCAGGGCACCCTCTCTACTATTGCTAGGCACCTTATCTAGGGTCATTTTTATGGATTCCTGGGAATTTCCCTGGCACCAAATTTCTCCCTAACCCAATAATGACTCCTTCTATCAAGATATCTCTTTCATTGCTCTCCAATTTCATCCCTCCCCAACTCAACCATCCCATTCCCTCTTGTTCTCATCCCCCACCCCTCTCCTCTACTGCGCCCTCACCCCTAGTTTATCCAGGAGATATCATTTAATTTCCCTTCCCAGTACAATTCATATGTCTCTCCTAGGGTCCTGTTTGTTACCTAGCTTCTCTGGAGCTGTAGAATGTAGTTTGGTTAATCCTTTGCTTTACACCTAATATTCACTTATAGGTGAGTACATACCATGTTTTTCTTTCTAGGTCTGAGTTACCTCACTCAGGATGATTTGTTCTAGTTCTATCCATTTGCCTGCAAATTTCATGGTGTCATTGGTTTTTTTTTACCAATGAGTAATATTCCATTGTGTAAATGTACCACATTTTTTAATCCATTCTTCAGTTGAGGGGTTGTTTCCAGGTTCTGGATATTACAAATAATGCAGCTATGAACATAGTAGAGCAAGTGTCTTAGTGGTATGATTGAGTATCCTTTGGGTACATACCCAAGAGCATTATTGCTGGGTCTTAAGGTAGATTGATTCCCAATTTTCTGAAACACCACCATACTGATTTTCAAAGTGGTTGTACAAGTAAGTTTGTACTTCAACCATCAGAGAAGGAGTGTTCCCCTTATTCTACATCCCCTCCAACTTAAACTGTCATCAGTGTTTTATGACCTTACAGGCCAGATTTTTTGATACAGTAGAACTCTTTCCCCAGGAACATGCAGGTATCTGTAAAACAGCTAGAGCAGATTTATATTTTGGTGTCATAGAAAAGGCTACGGCTTTGAGTTAAAAGAAGTGAACATTTCTCCTAGGGCCTAGTTTTAGCATGATGAAACACACCTTTAAGTCTATACTTAGAGGGCAATCAGAGGAAATTTACTGAGAAAAAGATTGAGTGAGCAAAGGAGGATGAGGAAAGGAGGAGCATGGGAATAGAAACAGAGTTGAACGTGCCTACAGGCTTCAATGCTTACCTGTTTCAGAGTAGGAGGAGTTGGATTTTAGCAGGGCTTTGCCGTGTGTGGCTGGAGATGATACAGTGAGTCAGAGAAGCCTCTCTGCAGTCCTAAAAAGCTAGGACCACAGAAATTTAAGAACTTTTGGAAACTGTTTGCAGTTGGTGCTCTATTGGTTTATCAAAATTCCATTTATCAGTGCCAAAATTCTGAAGCCTGTTTATCTTTTACTTTGAAGCCTGTGAACAAGGCAGACTTGTCTGTATTTTTAATAAGAAATTTAACTAATAAATTAATGAACTGCCAAAGTGGTTATAGCCTTGGGGGATCAGGAGGAAAGCTGTTAAACTAATAAACCTGTCTGTAAAAGAGTCATCAAACACCATCAGATCTGAAAAGGACACATTTTACCTGAGTAAGCAGAAGTGAGACAGTTTACTGGATACCTAGGCAGCTACCCCAGGTTCTTCTGTGGTCATTAGGGACAGGGGTCCCAGAGTGTCCATCTTCAGAGCCAGGCCCAGAAGATCTGACAGACTTTTTGTGAAACAGGAATATGGATACCAGCTTACCTTGTCTTGGCAAAGCAGGGCAATCAATTCCCCAGAGTCCTGTTTGTCCACAGTCCAGACAGGGTCTCAGCAGCAATTAAGGTACAAGGCAGTGTATCTGCTCTGTTGCTTGCTTTGCTACATTTAAATCAAGCTCCAGGTGGATATTCTTCTGCGGCCATCCATGTTCCCTGGAGGAGATACAGGGTGCTGCCAGGAGCTGGAATGTTTCTATCATTAGAAACCTTTTTATTAAATGCTATATTCTCAGATCTCTGAAGCATTTGAGGATCAGAGGATCATTGTCTATTATGTATAAGCAGTCTAGTATCTCTAGAAGGCAAAACCCAGTTTTCACATTATAAACAATTTAGTGTTTCTAAAATCAATACCAAAGATTTAGTCTGATCTTACAAAATCTGGCTACCAGCAAGAGACATCCCTGAACATGAATGCATGGAGGTACAGTTTTAATACCTTATTAAACCAGCATTGTTTTAAATCCTGTCTTTCATAAACCTTGTTTTTAGGACAGGGCAGGGAATATCATACAGAAACCCACCCTAATCCAAAATATCTTGGAGACCTGATATCTCCTTGTTGGGCCCAATCCATTTGGTCACCTTTATTTAAGATGGTGCCAAAGTCATATGACCACCCTGTTCTCCATCCATAGTCAAAAGGGTGGCTGCCACGTGGCCATACTTAATTAAAATGGTGGCAGACCATGTGTTGTTTTCCAGAGCCATTCCAATTTGGAGTTACAAGTGTTAACTTCTTTTTTTTTATTATTTTTTAAATTTTTTTCAACTGTCTGAAATTTATTAAATTATAAAAGTTTCCATTTCTGCCCCTCCTCTCAACACCCTCCCACTCCCCACACTCCCCCTCCTCCTCCCTCTCCATCCCAAAAGCAGTCAGGGTTTCCTGCCTTGTGGGAAGTTGAAGTTCCTCCCCCCTCCCTCCAGGTCCAGGAAGGTGAGTATCCAAACAGACTGGATCTCAAAAACCCAGTATATGCAGAGGAAACAAGTCCCAGTGTCATTGTCAATGGCTTTTCAGAAAGACTCCGGGCCAGCCACATTCAGAGAAACCGGCCACATTCAGAGAATCTGGTTGGATCACGTGCTCGATCAGTGCCAGTTCAACTGGCCTTGGTGAACTCTCATTAGATCAGTCCCCTTGTATCAGTGGGTGATCGGACCCATCGCGGTCCTGATTTCCTTTTTCATGTTCTTCCTTCTTCTGCTCCTCATTTGGACCTTGGGGGGCTCACTCCAGTGCTCCAATATGGGTTTCCGTCTGTATCGCCATTCATGGTCGGATGAAGGTTTCCTCTGGTCTTGCCTTCTTTGCGCACATTCTCTTTCCATCTGCTTCTCGTTTGGACCTAGGGAGTTAAGTCCAGTGTAACACTGTGGGTCTCTGTCTCTAACTCCATCCATCGACAGATGAAGGTTCTATAGTGATAAGCAAAATATTCATCAGTATGGTTATAGGCCAAGGCTGGTTCAGGCACCCTCTCCTCTGTCCAGAGAACAATCTGGGGATCTCTGCTTGGACTTGGGATACCATTTATAATCAAGTCTCTTGTAAACCCTAAAATGACTCCCTTAGTTGAGATATATTCTTCCCTGATCCCATATCCATCCTTCCTCCCTCACCCCATCCCAGTCCACCGAGCTTTCCCCATTCCTCCCCTACTCCCTTCTCTCTAACCATCTCCCCTTCCAACAACCCTCCCACCCCTCCATACACCCGAGGTTACCTGGGACTCTTGTCTATTTCCAATTTCCAGGCAGATAACTACATGATTTTCATCAGGTTCACCTTCTTATTTAGCTTCACTAGGATCAAGAATAATAGGCTCAAAGACCTTTAATTATGTCTAGAATCCACTTATGAGTGAATACATACCATATTCCTCTTTTTGGGTCTGGCTTACCTCACTCAGTAAAGCGTTTTCTATGTCCATCCATTTGAATGCAAAATTCAAGATGTCATTGCTTTTTACCGCTGAGTAAAACTCTAATGTGTATATGTTCCACACCTTCTTTAACCATTCTTCTATTGAGGGGCACCTAGGTTGTTTCCATGTTCTGGCTATTACAAATAGTGCAGCTATGAACATAGTTGAACAAATACTTTTGTAGTATGATAGGGCATCTCTTGGGTATATTCCCAAGAGTGGAATTGCTGGGTCCTGAGGGAGGTTGACTCCCAGTTTCCTGAGAAACCGCCACACTGATTTCC